AAAAATGATCAGAATGTAGAGCAGGGCCATGTAACCCTGGAAACCTAGTGAGGATGGCAGGAGTCGGCCGCTCCATTCCAGACATGCTTGCTGTCCCATGATCTCTTACCCAACTGCCTCTAGGCTAAGTCTCTATTTCCCCTACCCTAATCAAGTTTCTTGTAAACTATGTGACCGAACGACAGGACAGAAAGTACTATGAGCAGACATCACTGTAGCTTTGGAAATCCCCTCCCTCTCCTTACCTGCCTGCCCACCAAAAACCCTACCCCGCCTGTTTGCCTGCAAAACTTCCCTATAAAAACTTCTGCTTCACCATATTAAAATGAACTGTCCGCTGACACAGTCTCCCATGTATTTCTTCCCATCCTACTCACTGCCACCCAAGATCTTCCTCTCCCCCACCGGCTTCTCCCTCCCCCGACCCTCCACCACAGGGACCAGGTATGCAATGGCTCCCCAGGAACATCGAGGCCCCGGTGGGAAGGAGACTGACACACATGTGCCAATTCATAAATATAAGAAACAGGAGAAATCAAAGTAATAAAAATTGACATCAAGGCCGGGCGTGGTGGCGCATGCCTTTAATCCCAGCACTCGGGAGGCAGAGGCAGGCGGATCTCTGTGAGTTCAAGTCCAGCCTGGTCTACCTAGTGAGTTCCAGGACAGCTGGGGCTACAAGGAGACCCTGTCTCAAAAAGACCAAAAAAAAATTCACATCAAAAGAGCAAATGACACACTAATGGAACACAATGAAATAGCTGAAATCCCAGGAAAATAATTCAAAAGAATTATCATAAGAACATTTAATGAAATTAAAGTGTACACAAATTAATTCAAAGAGAATATATTTAAATAGTTCAATGAAATAAAGTTAATGCAGGATATGAAACAGGAATTCAATAAAGAGAAACACTGAAAATGAAACTAAGTGCTAGAAATTAAAAACTTAGTAAGTCAAATTGTTCTAAAGAAAACAGTAGAAAACATAACTAATAGAATGATTTTTTTCTCTATTTTTATTTTGTGTATAAATATTTTGCTTGCATGTATGTAAGTGCATCCATGTCATACAGTGTCCAGAGACCAAAGGAAGGCATCAGATCTCCTAGAACTGGAGTTACTGATGATTGCTAGCCTCCATGTGGTTGCCGAGAACTGAGCACAGGTCCTCTGCAAGAATATCCAGTGCTTTTAACTGCTGAGCTATCTCTCCAGCCCAGAACATTTTTTTTTAATTTGACTTATTTATTTTAATTTCTAAAGTTACAAAGACAAATTTCACCTTAGGATAAAAGTATGGAAAAAGATATTCTAAGTGAATAGAATTGGAAAGCAAACAGAGATCACTCTTCTAACATCAGGCAAAAGAGAACAAAGAAGAATTAGCCAGAAGAGATAATGAAAAGATTCCATATTGTTTAGGGGAATCCATTACAATTCTAAGCATATATGCACCAAACTGTACACCTGACCTCTTAAGAAAATAGTACTAGATATAACAATCAAGATTAACCAAAAGACAATTATCAGGATGGATTTCTATATCCTACTCTTACTAGCAGACAGGTCATTCTGGCAAAAAGAAAAAAAGAGTTAAACAATAACATAGTTCAAATGCCTGGCCAGGTATTCTTACAATATTCCAATCAAACATTACAGAACATATGCTATACTCAGAATCCTATAGGAAGTTCTCTAAAATGGATCCATAAGATAGTATACAAATCAAGTACTAAGAAATACTGGAATACTGAAATCATATTTTGTATCCTATCAGATAACAGTGTAAAAAACAAAAATTAAACAGCAAGAGAAACTGAAGAACATACAAAAAAACTCTGAATAATATCCTACAGAGTGATGAATAGGTCATGGAGGAAATTCAAATCCAGTTAAAAATTTCTACAGAAGCTTCCTAAAATATATACATATACATATATTTTAAAAGCTTAAATGGAGTTGTTTTATAATAGGGGGGACAATGCCTCTCTTGACACCATAAGCTAGCAGCAAGAAAAAAAGCCATTGTCATAAATGGGCTTCCTGTTTTGGAGTTGTTGACCACAAGGGTCCCATAGACCCTCAAACAACACTAGCTATTTCCACTGTTCTTGGTTACCCTTCCAAACTTCACTGTAAGACCATATTGCTGAAGACAGTGCATAATTGTGTTATAGAATATGCAAAATCAAGGTGGTGCTGACCTGGAAGCATCATTTCTGCTGGCTAGCTTTCATAAGGCTGTGGGTAGGTGGTATGCAAGCTACCAGAAAAGAAAAGTAATCATCTATAGGAATGATTCTACAATGTGGACAGAATCTTAACTAATGACTTTTACTTAACTTTGCTCCAAAAACCTAATCTTTATAAAGCAAACAAACTCATTAAGTCATGTGCTCCTCTTGTGACCTGGGCATATGACCATAATCCTTCAGAACCCTCATTACCCTCCACCCAAGATAATAAATGAATGTGAGTGTGCTTGTTTAACATATCACAGTTCAGAAAGTGAAATCAATGAGAACTAAGAAGTCTACTTGATATTGTATGTGTGTGATATTTTAAGCCTAAGGATTAAAAGGATCCTAGGGATCATTCCATGATCAGAGGGAGGGAATCTTAGCTTTGACTTCATCAGTTGATGCTGGAGATACTGTTTGAATAAAAGTATGAAAGAAGCCTGACTGAAGAGCAGAGTTCCGAGGTGTCTGAAGGAACAGGTGGTTCTCAGAATTCAGGTCCACTCTTGGCCTTAAAACTAACGCTAAGAGTCAGGCTGTTTCTTTATTCAAGTATAACTGCCTGTTTCATTATTCAGTTATAACTGTGTGTGGCCTAGTAATTCTGCAGTTTCTATAATTTTTTTTTTCTTTTTGAGACAGGGTCTCCCTGTAGCCCCAGCTGGACTGGAATTCACTATGTAGACCAGGCTGGCCTTGAACCCACAGAGATCTGCCTGCCTCTGACTCCCAAGTTCTGGGATTAAAGGCATGCACCATCATGCCCAGCCTCTGTATTTTTTGTTACTTTTATTTCATTGTGTGTGATAGAATAAAAGGAATTAACATGATTTTTTTGTGTTTGTTGAGACTTGAT